CTGCTGCCTGGCCCTCTGCAGCCCTCTCTTCTTTGGCCCAGGGTCACCCTCGGCAGGGAGGGCTGTGGGATTTGAGGAGGGGCTGCCAGGCCTGGCCTGGGGTGATCCTTCAGGTCTGTGTCCCCTGCCTGGCTCTGACCAGCTGTGCTGGAGGTGGCAGAGGCGTGGGTAGGAGGTGGGTAGGAGACTCGGCCCTCTGCCTCCCTGGTATATCTTGTTCTCCAGTTCCCATCCCTCCCGGGAGCTGAGTTTCCACTCACCTTGGTATCCCAGAGCTCCCAGAGCCCCTCCATAGGGCTTGGGAGGTTTTCCTGTGGAGGGAAGGGGGGTGGTTCATGAGGGACCAGGCTTTCCCACTTCTCCAAGTATCTCTCCGGCCTGCCTCATGCAGCCAGCCTCGGACCTGTCCCAGGGGCCCCGAAGCCTCTCTGTCCCCAGCCTGCCCACCGGCCCCTCCCGTCCAGCTCTGATGCTTTGGTCAGGGAGAATTTCTAGCATGTTCTTGTTAAGAGCATCCTGCTGGTGCAGTGGCAACCCAGTCTCCTAGCCTTAGCCCCCCATCACAATCAGACCCCAATAAGCCTACCCCCTTAGCCCCCCTAACAGTCAGACTCCAACAAACCTACCCCCTCAGCCCCTAACAGTCAGACCCCAATATGCCTACCCCTTTCAGCCCCCCATACAGTGATACCCTGACCAGCCTCCTTCCTCAGCCCCCGACAGCAGTCAGACCCCAGACGAACCTCCCTGGCTCAGCCTCAGGACCACCGTCTCTCTCATCCCCCAGGCCTCAGCCTACCTGACCACTCCCCTTGGCTGGACCCCGCCCTCTGTACACAATTTATTCCCCCTTTGCCGCCTCAGTCTCCCCTTGTTAGCTCCCAAGCCCCAGGTGGGTCTTGATTCTCCGTCCTCAGAACCTAGGAATTGGCCCCCCATCCTCTGGGCAGCAAGTCACCTCTTGGAGGTCTCAAGTCCCAGCCCCAGAGAGGACCAGCCCGGGACATGCCAGGTTTTCCCCCAACCTCATGCAAATGGCCCCTCTAGTCAGACTCACCACCAACTCCCAGACCCCCGGCTGCACCACCTGCGAGGCAAGGAGAAGGCTGTGGGTGTGCCCACCTCTGTGGGGTCCCAAGCCCCCTGAGTGGGCACTGATCCCGATGCTCAGTGGGACCAAGTTCTCAAGTTGACCTTGGGCCAGCCCTGGTGTTCTAGGGCATTTCAGCTTGGTCCCTGGTGAGCAGGGTGGGAGCTTTCCTCCTAGGGACCCCGAGAGGCATCAAGTGTCCTCGAAAAGCTATTCTTTCCATCCTTGTGGGACAGGGCCATCTGAACCCAGGGGTCTACCTCTGGGCACCAGCCCCACCCTGCTGACAGGTGACCAGCAGGGAAGCAGGAAGGCTTGCCAGAGCTTCCAGGCAGGTGGGCTGCAGGGCTGAGCATACCTGGATAAATGGGGGACAAGCCAAAGCCAGGTCTTGTTACAACACCTGTGGGAGAGAGCTGGTTTCAGGAGGGAGAACCCTGTTCCAGTTGCTGCGTGCCCTTGCACCTGCATCAGCATTGGCGTCTGAAGCCTCCTGTTCTGAGCCCACTGCCCCCTGAGTGAGCCCCTCCATAAGCCTGTCCCTGCCTAGTGTCCTGGTGTGACAGCCGGAGCCCTAGCCCCTTGGCCTGGCCCTGCCCTTTTGTGCTGCATACAGCCCTCTTCTGGAATACCCTCTCCCCCTCGCTTGCTCTTGTGTCTTCCTGCCTAAGGCAGGCGCCACCCAGCTGGATTGCCTTCCTCTAGCCCCCAGCAGAGCTGAGAGGGACCTACCACCAACTGAGAGAGGCCTGGCCGCTCCCAGGACACCCCCAAGGCCAGCAGCACCTGGGAAGAAGGCAGAGGAGGGTCAGGACAGGGCACAGGCAGAAGGGTCCCTGAGTATCCTGTCCTCACCCAGCCCTGGGTGCTGGGCCAGGTCGTGTCCTAGACAGACATCTCTAGGGGCACCACAAGCGGACGGTGGCCTGGGCGTGGAGACGTCAGCAGGAACTCACCGTATTTGGCTGCTTTTGCTGCTGCAGCTGGGGACACACCTGGAGGGGAGGAGGGCGAGAGCTTAAGACCTTCATCCCCCCAGCCCCCTGCTCCTCCTCCCTCATCCTCCCCAGCCCCTTGCCCCGCTCATGCCAGGTCTGCCCCCTGTGGAGAGCCTGGAGGTGCCCTCCAGGCTGGCAGGGGCTGTGGGGAGCGGGGCTGTACAATGACTGCCCCAGGAAGGGCCAAGGGTCCACACTGGCTGCCGTGATGGCAAGAAAGGAACCCTCTTCTCTGGGCTGGCCATCCCGGTCCTCAGGAGCTCCCACTTGGCAAACCCAGAGGGAGGCTTGGTGGCACTGCTGGGTAAGTGTTGGGGGGCTCACCACAAGGCTCAAACCCACCAGCTGCTCCGAGGGAGAAAGAGAGGAAGCTGGTTGTTTGCGAGTTACAGCCCCGGGATCCTGCTTTGGGGTCACTGTGAGCCAAATGGACTCGGAGGCAGTGGGTTTGGGTTTAGTTGGAGAAGCTGGGAGCCGCAAACAGCTTAACCTGTTCCCCTCGAGCTGAGAGGTTGGGGGTGTGAGTCTATTCAGAGGTGCCTTGGGAGAACGACCAGGTTGTCTGGTCCTGGCAAGATTCACAGCCTCCGAGACTCTAGGGAGCAGTTTTATGATACCCTCCCCGTGCCCCGGGTGGGTTCAGAGAGGGAAGGGAGCCAGTTGGGGTCCCAGCAGCTGGGGGCAGCCCAGGGCCTGCTCCAGCCCCGCTGTAACCGCTAGCCAAGGCCATGAGAGGGGCCAGGCCCTCGGCCACTAGGAGAGCAACTGAATACGGAGGGTGGGCAGGCCCTGGGGAGAGCATGGCCAGAGCCAGGGAGGTCACGAGTGAGAAGAAAGTCTGTCTGTCTGTCTGTCTGTCTGCCTGCCTCTCTCACACATAGACATCTCTGTCTCTGACACACACACACACACACACTGACTCCAGAGCAGCCCCTCACCTCCAGCCCCAATTCCTCCAGCCCCAATTCCTCCAGCCCCAATTCCTCCGACGGCCCCAAGCGTCCCGGCTCCCCCGAGACCTGCGGAGAGACCATGTGTCAGCCCCACTGGTCCACACAGCGGGGCCAGAGGGGGCAAGCTGTGCAGGGAGTAGGGGGACAGGGGAGAGACCAGGCCGGAGGGGTTGCTCGCAGGCTTCCAGGCTAGGGCAGCCAGCGCTTACCATACTTGGCGGCTTTGGCAGCGATCGCGGAGGCAGCAGGTCCAGCTCCTGCGGACAAGGGGTGGGGGCTCAGGGCTGGACTCTCCAGGGGTCAATCTCCCCATTGAATCCATGCTGACACTTCAGCTTACCTGCCACTCCCCCTGGGACACCTGCTCCTCCCAGGGCCCCGGCTCCGGCTCCGGCTCCACCCAGGGCCCCGGCTCCTCTTGCTATTGCAGAAAGAACATAAAGCTGTGAGCCCCCGTTTCTGAAGGAACCGGGTAAGTGGACAAGTGGCCAAGGCCCGGTGACTGTTCAGGACCGTGCCTCCCACGTGTGGCCCAGGCCTGCAGCTCCCACCTTCCCCAGGGCCAGTGCCGCAGGGGGCAGAGACACAGGACACTGGGTGCTTGGTACTGCCAAGGGTGTCACGCCCTCACAGCGCCGGGGTTGAGTCCTGCTCGCTGTTGGTTCTAGCTGAGACCTCTCTGGACTGCACTTCCCATCTCCCTCAAGGGGTCGGTGGGCCCTGCCCTGCTGGCACGTGTGTGGAGCAGCTAGACACAGATGTGGCTGGGGTGCCGGTGGACATGCTTGGACACCCCCCACCAGTCAGCCTCCTCAGAAGCATGCCACACTTAGTAGCCACTGCAACCACAAAGCGCAGGGAAACTGAACACCCACTTTGCAGACAAGGGTGTGGAGGCCCAGTCCAGGGTAACCCATGCGCTCCAGGCTCTGTCTACAGGGCTGGGCCTGGGCCCAGGCAGCCTGGCTCCCCAGCCTGCCACATGACACCACTCAGCTTTCCTGGCACGTCCAGAAACGGACAGAGGAGACCTGGCGAGGGGCCCCTCTGGATGGAGGCTTGGATTTTTCCAAAGGGGAGTCTGGCCCCAGTGGATCGACTAGGGCAGGGGGGTAGGTCCCGGATGGCCGGGAATGCCGGGGCCACAGAGCGTGTGGGTCTGGCCAAAGCCCGGCTGCCAGAGGGGATGGACTCAGGCTTTGGTGGCAGCCAGCATGCCAAGTGGACCGGCAGGCTGGTCTGCCACGTCGGTGCGTGCTCGTGGCCCGTGCAGCCCTGCAGACAGGGAGGGGCTGCAAGTCCTCATGGGAGGATTCTCTGAGCGGCTGCCCACTCCCTCATGCCACTAGTGGGCCTGCCCTTCCCAGGCCCTCCACTGGGGTCTTGGAATCCCTGGGAGTTTGGAAATGTGAGGGGTGGGTCACAAAGGCAAGGCACCCTGGTGGCCCAGTGGATGGAGTGTTGGGCTGCTCATATAGCAAGGTCAATGGTTCGAAGCCACCAGCCACCCTGTGGGAGAAAGATGAGGCTGTCTGCTTCCGTAAAAGATTTACAGCCTCAGAAACCCTAAGGACCATTTCTCTCTTCTGGAGGCTTGCTCTGAGTGGCGATCGCCCTGCTGTCAGGGCTTGGGGACAGGGGAGGCATTTAGCAGGCAAGGAGGCCAGCCCTCTCTCCTGTCATAGGAAGTGCCTTTAGTTAGCTTGCCTGTCCCAGCCTGAGCCTGTGGGAGGGCGGTGGCGGGTAACGGGTGTCCGGGTGCACATAGGGGTGATGGGGCAGCTCAGGGATGGGAAGATGGGGTACACTTACCATATTTAGCTGCTTTGGCTGCAGCCAGGGATCCAGGCACTGGGGAGAAAGAAGGGTGGAGAGAGGGCAGTTGCTGACTCTGTGCCTGGGCTGCTGCCTCCTCTAGGGAGCCCACCCTGGCGTTCTCTCACAGCCCCAAAGCCTAACTCAAGGCTATTTTGGTTGGAGGCTGAAATGTAGCCCCCCTCCCATATCCATCTCTCCCTTTCTCTCTCTCTCTCCACTTCCGGCCCTCCCCTTCTGGCCACTCCAGGCCCCGTGTAACTTGGAGAAGCTGGACCTGAACTTGTATGGGGTCACCCCTCGGGGAAGCGCTAGAGCACTGAGTGGATCTCTTCCCAACAGAGTCCTACTGAAGAGGAGCCAGGCTGACCCTTCCTGTGGTCCCTGACCCCCAAGCCCCAGCCTTGTCATCCCTCCATGGAGAGGCAGGACTCTGGCATCTAGCAGCTGGGCCCCTTGACCGATGGGTCTCTGATTGCTCCAGAGGACTCTTGGGGAACAAACCCTAGAGTGATGACCCAAGCCTTGTGGGAGAGAGATGCTGAGGAGGGGCCGAGAGGAGGCGGCGTCTCCCAGCCCTTACTGCCTCTCACCTGCACCAGCTCCAAACCCAGGTACTCCAGCACCAGCTCCAAACCCAGGTACTCCAGCACCAGCTCCAAACCCAGGTACTCCAGCACCAGCTCCAAA